CAATATTCTATAGGCTATAGTTTAAATTGTAAGCTGTGCCCTGTTGTAAGTACATAAAGCTCTCTCCCTTTTCGTTTTCTGATACATGACATATTCATTCTGTAGGTTCTTCTTCCTTTTCTTTTTCTTTTTCCACAAAATCTTTCCCTTGTTGATTTTCGTGATCTGGTGAGTATTAATAAACACAATACAGGGTGCTTTAAAATAGTCTCACAAGTTAGCCCCATAGTACAGTGGTTAAACACTGTGTGGAGGGAGGAGGACCCCACTTAGCCAACTGCAATTTGAGTAGTGGTCCCAACATGCTCATGCATGCTTAGGATCCTGATGAGATACAGGAATGGATGAAAGGGAGTTGTGGCATGACCAGGTGTCATTGAGGGGTTCTCTCTCTCTCTCATGCATACACTGTATACACATCTCTGGCATATTAAGAGAAAAGCCTCTCTCAAATTCTAAGGCAAGTCTACTTTCCCCACTCCATGTAAGTAATGAGTTGTGTCCCTGGGAAGAAGCCTTGTATCAAATTCTCCTTCACCTCAGTAGCCAACTATGAATAGACAGTGTAACAAAAAATTGAAAATATGCCAATAGTATCAATGGAAAATATGAAAGAGCCATATTGAACATGAAAGGCACTGGATCAATGTGAACATGTTCAAGTGCCCAGAATTTCAACAGAATTTTTGTGATTGTTGGATAGTTTCTTTTTTAACAATCATGACACAATAACTAATCATCTCTCTCATACTTCATAAACCAGTTTAATTTAAAGGAGTATTTGTACTGCAAAATTTTATAGGTAAACTTTGAAAATAGCAAGTTCTTGCGACCAGCAGTTAGCATAATGGCTATGTCGCTGGACTCCCATGTGGTCGACTGCGGTTTGAGTCCCAGATCTGGTGGCTTAAACTCACACCGGGAACATGTGTGTGTGTGTGCCCAGGATCCCAAGAGGAAAATGGAGGAGAAGGGATTGAAGCATGGCCATCCCCCATGGGGGCTGATTTCTTGCTTCCTGTCTCTCTGCCTTTCTGTTGAGCGCAGGTGCCCTATAGCAAAAACCTCTCCAAAATAAAAAAAGAAAGAAAACAGTAAGTTCTTGCATTGTAGTGAACCAGACTCATACTACTATGAAAGGAAGGCCTACTTTAAGAGAGGATTTGTCTTTTGAGGACAGAAACAGTGACATTAGTGAATAGTAAGACCACTGGAAATTTGTCCTAGGTACCAGAAAAAATGCTCAGAATACCCAATGTGGAGGTCTGCTAGCTTCTACCCAGCCCAAACTTTCTTTCCTTCTTAGGTTTTTGCTTAAATACAGAACGAGTTGACCCTTTTCCTTAATTCCTTCAGACTTATCCCATAATGACCAGAGAAATAAAGAGGAAACCTTGGGAGAAAAGTTTGTCAAGAGCCAATGCATAGACATTACTTAGAGAGCCTTAAGTAGGGAAGTTCATAAAGTATTTACAACATGTAGCCAAACTCAGGGAGATTTTACCCTGTCTTGACCTCTAGAAATTTAAGATGAAGCTTTAAAGACAGTTAAATTGTTATTAATTGGAGACAGTAAGAGGCTTCTCAAGGAACACTGTCCCGAACATGACTTTATAAGCAGCTGGATGTCCTACAGAAACTAATGTTCAAGAATGGCCTCAATTTGATCCAGCTCCCAATTCATAGTGTTTAACAACTGTGCTACAGAGCTACAGAGCCTGCCCTAAATCCCATTCACTGACAAAAAGAATTAGGATTCCCATTGGAGAAAATGACTAATTGCAGTGTTGGGGCAAGGAAATGCAAGAGGAACTTGGAGCATCTATCTTACAGTATCAGAAAGTAAAAACATCCTAAAGAGGGTCTAGCAGGTGATTAAGGCACTGGACTCTCACAAGGGCAACCATAGTTTGGTGGTTAAGGCACTGGACTCTCTCAAGGGCAACCATAGTTTGAGTCCTGAACCCAGCTGCTTGAAATTCACCCTGGGCACGTGTGTGTGCCCAACGTCACAAGAAGAGAATGGAGGAGAAGAGATTGCTGTGTGGCCATCCCTCCACAAGGGATTTCTCACTTTCTCTCTCTCTGTCTCTCTGGAAAGCACATGCACCTACAGCAAAAATCTAAAAAAAGTTAAAGGATGATATGATGTCAAAAGGAAGAGAAGCCAACTTAAAAGAATTCTGTCAGCATAAGTAGATACCGTGAGCAACATAAAATGTAACAGTAATTGGATTATACCCCAAAGGATGAAATAAATATTCATGTGTCTGCCCTGATATAAATAACTGAATAAACAAATAAATGATGAAAAAAAAAAAAAAAAGAATGGCCTCAATTTAGAGTACTGGGAAACAACACAGATCCTAACAACTATAAAGAGTATCTAGGAAATAAGAAAGAATTGTTACTATGAGTTTATATCTACTTTTTAAAAAAATTGCCACAGGGTGCATGCGCTCACTAGGGAGAGAAAGACAGAAAGTGGGAAAGCAAGAACTCACCACCTGTAGGGCATGGTCACACCACAATCCCTTCTCCTTCATTTCTCCCACCTGTTGGGATTTTGGACACACACACACACACACACACACACACACACACACACCTGGTGTGTTTCTCAAGCGTCCAAGTCCTGGACTTGTACCATGCAGTCAGCCGTGTGCGATCTAGCCACCTTAACTATCACGCCATCAGCTTGCCCTCTATCTACTTTTTTTTTTTTTTTAGAATTTTTCCCCAGAAAGA